CACCTAAGGCCAGGTGGGATGTAAACTATTTTCATCTATAGACGTAAATAAAAAGAAGAAAAAAATGTAGATAAAATAGCCATACTCCTAAGAAAAACGGTCGAAACAAACTCAACTGGCATATTTTTCTCTTATGACTTTTTTTTAAAATATACAATAAAATTTATTTCACTTTAAACCACGCAATCTGGAGCGAATACTTCATCCATATAACATTATGTCTGTGAATTAATAACTAGATGATGACCGAGCATTGCTCGTTTTTTTTTTTTTGATAACACCATCTTGTTGTGTCTTTAAAGCGGTTAGTTGCCCTCAATGAAGAAAAATAGTATTATTATTCGCCAATCGATGTCGGGAAGAGTTGATTATTGAAAACACGAATAAAACAACATTTTCTGCAAATAAATCGTAGCTAGATCGATTTATCGCCCCCGAAATCCCCTGTATACTAAATATGTATTATGAAAATCGTTGGAGCCGTTTCCGAGATTCAGATTATATTTATATTAATATACAAGAATAGCTCGTTTAAAGATCGACGCTTGAAAGGCAAACGTGACTAAGCGACAATAACTGCTTAGTACATAAATGGTAGGCAATAACCGTATTCGATGCGTAAAAAAAAATATATATTTCTAGGTCTATTAAAATAATTTCAATCCTACAGCTAGATTCGTTAAAATAGAATTCATTTTTCAGGTATTTCAACATTAAATTAGTCTACTGTAAAGTTCACGCATTGTCGCTTAGTCATCTTTGCCTTTCAAGCGTCGATTATTTTTAATTTGTTCATTAATTAATAATGTAATAAAAACAGTTGGACCGTCAAAGCAAGCGATCAAGCAGAAAGAGAAACGTGAAGCTCGAAAAGTTCGTAAAGCTGAAGAAAAGGCGAAAGGCGACGTGTCCCCGGAAGACGGGTCCTCGCCGGTCCCCCCCACAACCACACGGCAACCCTTCGTCTCGACGGGCGATCCCGAAAAGGATAAGAAAATCAAGAACATCAACAAGGTATGAACTAACATCACTAAATAGTATATAACAAAGTCGCTTTCTCTGTCCCTATATTCCTATGTATGCTTAAATCTTTAAAACTACGCAACGGATTTTGATGCGTTTTTTTTAAATAGATAGAGTGATCGAAGAGGCAGGTTTATATGTATAATAACATCCATTAAATTATAGTGGAGCAATATTGTTATTTTTGACGTTTCTAATGTGATATCGTAAATAATCAATAATAAAATTTCATGTTTCCGAAGCGAAGCGAGGGCGGGTCGCTAGTGTTATGTAGTTTAATATCTGGTCGTATAGACGGACTTATAAAACATGGATAACTCATTGTGAATTTAGAACATAAAAGTTTTTAATGTATATAAAAATATATATGTACCGTGAGCATTTTGGTATACCTACACTTCAATTTACGTTAAAATAATATGTCTATCGTTTAGAAAACAAGATGGAAACCTACCTTGTGTTAAGTGGTAATCAAAGACCAAGAGTACTTCAACTTTAACATTAAGATCGTTACCAACGCTAACTATGTCACGACGATCCCAGTCCCAGAGGTGGCTTAAATTAATAAACAATATCCGTAAATTTTATTTTATGACGAAGTTAAAAAGCCTTTCGAGTTTTTTTTTTAATTTCTTTCTTTCTGGCTTTTGTTACTTAGATTTAAATACAACTTTGCCAACGTCGGATAGTGGGGGTATCAACATAATTATGCTAAGACAACATTATATTTACAGGCATGAACTGATAACAGAGTTACCTATTTAGTTTTACAATTTTTGCATTGAACAGTTAGTAGGAACTAAAATACAATTTTATATTATCAGCGTCTATGAAAGTTCTAAGCGAGTAGACTACCTTTTTAGTGGGGAAAGTTAATGGGAAGTTCGTGTTGATGGTGAGGGGGACTATGTTTAATGGTCCAAATATTTCTGGCTACTTCGCCACTACAATCATCACTTGATTCGAGTACACCAGACGTCTTATCTTTTAGACCAGAAGGACCTAATCTCATAAATATACGGCCAAAAGCACACTTCCGAAACATTACCATAGACTGAAAATGTGTATTTTTTTTCCAGAAATTAAACGACATAGACAAATTGAAACAGCAAAAAGCCGCCGGGAAGCCGCTAGAGTTGAACCAACTCGCCAAGATCGACAACGAACAAGCATTACTGCAAGAATTGTCTCAGCTGAAATTATGATAAAAATGAATACCTTTGTTTAACATTTTTGTTACATTTCTTTCATTAAGATAGGTGAAGTTAAAAAGTTACATATTAATATAAGCTGTAAAGTCCAAATTTGTTTGAAAAGTTACCTTTTAAAAAAATAGCCTTTTTTATTTTAATTGACGGGTTCGATTTGCGGTTCCGACAGATTTGAAAAATCTCTCGATGCCGTTTGCTATTTATTGGTGTTTTTAGCGAAAATTTCATTGACTACAAAAAATATAGATGTACCAATGGGACACCCTGTATAATACTTAACTTACTACGCATATCTCTCAATAATAATAGTACCGGACCGAACGGCGGTCTCCAAGCAAATATACTGCCTAAGTGAATGGTCTTAAGCAAATAAAGTCATGTTCCATCCAGTCAGCGCACAGGGTGAAACGCCTCGGCGGTTCAGAGACCGGTTAAGGCATCGACCGACAAGAAAACGGACCGTCAAGAATAAAAAAAGGACCAAAAAAACATGGTTTCGGGCCGCTGCTCAATATAGATAATAAAATAAAGCGCGTACATACGCATATTGTACGACTGTGACGATCCGGCAAAATTCTCCATCCGTCATAAACGCGAATGCGTCTTAAAAGAGGATGAACCGTCTGAATTCCGGCAATTTAAACACAGTACCAATGACCGCACCGGTAAAGACATGCTTAAAAGCAAGTAATAGAAATAAAAAAACAATAGTATTGTAACCCTATAATAGGGTTGACACATTAAAACATTTTTATAAGTTCTTTCATAAAAATCTATATACTAAAATGAATGTTAATTAAAGATGAAATGTTACGATGTTATGAATAATAAAGATGTATATCGCCTATACAAATGCAACATGTTTTTTCTTGTTATTTTTTTCCTCAATAAAGGACAAGCCTGCCGGTACAGCCGGTTTTATGCACTTAAGGATCTCGTTGCATTTTTCGAGGTCGCCCTTAAGTAAAACCAGTTCGTAGTTGTTTTAAATGCAAACCTCACTTGAAATATAAACTGAAACAATTAAATTTAACAGTTTTTGTGATATTTCACTGAATACAGCACGAATATTTACAAATATCCAATAGCGTGTGTTGGGGTCAAAAATTCATGTAGTTGACCTTTTGAAATATTAATGTAAAATAACAAATTTCTGGCACTTAAGAAGAAAAAAAAAACAAATGGCGTTTCTTTATATGCAAAAACAAATCGAGTATCTTTAATTTTTATTGTTTAACATTTTAGTTATTGTATTGAGATATTCAAGCCGCAGATTATTCGAAGAGAAATATATAAATTTGATCAGTAATACAATCAGACTAATGAAATAAATTAATAAATCATGCATTTCATAATTACACAATTTCCCGACATCAATATTCGGAATGCCAGTCTGCCGTATAAAAACGCTAGTCCGATAAAAGATTTTATATCGCATTAGGAAAAGATAAAAATCGCGCTTCATATAACTTCTTAATTTGATGTTTTGAATACGTTAAAGTTTTCGAACGAATCCTTTTATTATTTAGAATTACGAATACCGAACCATTGTACCGAACACAAGACGTCTTACACCATCCGTGTACATAAATTCTGTATTTTGATCCGCGAAATCTACGAACGCTATGACGTTTATACTATAAGTTTTCAGTTTTAAAAAAATCGTTCTGAATCTTAAATATTAAGTATTAAATATCTATGATACCAAATAACAAGCGTCCGCGTCAGTGCGATACTGTATTAACGACCATGATTATTAATTGTTTTCTAGAACGATAACCAAATCAAATATTACACGAATAAACAATATTTTACTGTCAGCCAATGGTTCATCCTCTGTCATATTTTTTGTGTGTTTAACTTTGTCACACGGCTGTCGGAGCATGCCGCTAAGTATTATTCTAAAATATTTATATTTCAGTCAAATCTAGTTTCGCGTCCTTGTTTGCTAAACACACGATCAATAACGAATTTACCTCATTAAGTACACGATGAAAACAAAAAATCTTCAAAATTTTTAAAAAGGGCTTTTATTACTTATTTCAAGTTATAATAATTTTATTTATTAAATTTCAATCTGCCAATATTAATCGTATCACAACAGCTTTGCTAGGCGAGGTCTCAACTTACAAGGAAAGCGGAGCCGTACTTGCAATTACTGATTACCTCATAGTTGCATTATAACTAAACCGCAACATACATTTTGAAAATTGTCAAGATCTGTCAGATAAGGAAAAAAGGGAATGAATTAACTGAATAAACGGCCGTCTGGTGTAATGGTAAGTGACATGGTCACTACACAAGAGGGTCGCGGGTTCGAATCCCGCCAAGGGAAGATATTTGTATGATAAATATAAAATGTATTTTCCAGAGCTATGGATGTATATTAAATATACGTTGGTGTATAATAAAAATCTTACATTTATTTCCTTTATCTGGTACCTCTAATACAAGTTCTATACCAACTTAACACGGGACTAGTTAACGTGGCGTGATTGTTAGTAAAATATTTATTTATATTTATTTATTTATTATTTATCATTGTAAACGAAATTAACTAATCATAGAATATACTATAAATGGATTCAAATGATTTTCTTATCGTTAAAAGACAAATTACTCGAGCTTCCCCCTCCCTCAAAATACACTCATCGCCTCTGAAAATATACAAGTGACTCCTGTGCCCGGAAACTTTTATTTACACTCGATAAGATATCGATAATTGATATGCGACGGTGGGTTTAAACTTACTGTACAGTTATTAAAACAGTCTGGTGCAGTGCACTCGCGCCAACACGACGCCGCAGATAGCTCTTATTTCTTTGCGATCGAGACGAATTACGATTCAAGAAAAATGGATTTAGGGAGTGATGATTCCGATGAGATGAAGCTTCTGGGGGAAGATCAGAGGACTAAAAGTGAAAGTTCAGATAGTGACAGTAGGCAAGGATCACTAGACACACTAGTTTTTGATAGTAAAATTAATAAAACATCAACGCATGCTGGAGATTTGGCGGAGACATGGGGCGGAGGGAGGTCCCCACCAAACTCGGGGCGATTGCGACGAACACAATCATGGTCGGGAGACCCGAACGATGATGTCAGCTCGGAAATCCGAATATTGAGAGAAAGGTAGGTACTCACATACACCAAACTGAAATAAGTACATAGGTATTATGAATTAGATATCGCATATTGTACGTAGTAATCCATGTTGTAATCAACAACATGTGTAATTGATAACAAACACATAACAGTATTCATTTAGCGTCAGCTACGCCTACCATATTTTACAGATGGACACATGCGAATCGATTAAGCAAACGTTAATGTTCTGGAAGTAATAGTATAATGTAGTATAATAATAATAATGAATGCAACTAGAAAAACGCACTCATTTTTTAAATACAACATAAAAATATATAGTAATTTATTTCCGACAAAGAGAATGAATATTAAAAGCCCATGGGTTGTGCTCATTTACACACACTAGTACGAAGAAAAGGGCCATAAATGAAATTCTGAACCAAATTACAATTACAATAAAAGAAATGAAAAGTTTTCATATTTTGAATTTGCCATGAATATGAAATCACATAATGCGTTGAATAATTGAGAATTATAGATAGATCTGGTGGTACGGTATCTGTACTGGTAGGTTAACCGTGTGGGTTCACAAGTAGTAGTAAGTAGTAGCAGTAATGCCTCCCAACTTAAAGGGTGCGGTAGCCGTTTCAATATAGGACTGGAAACTGGGAACTCAAGTCTCCTGGCGGAATTTACGTTATTGCTGCCTATGGGCTCCAGTTGCCACTTAACATAAGGTGAGCAATAAGCCCGTTCATCTGACTAAGCAAAAAAAGACCTAGCTAAGACGTTTTACCCTGTAGATCATACCTACCTATTAGACATAAGAAGTAATCATAGTGTAATTTATTCGAACAAAAAGGATCATTACCTATACTGTAATAATGAAAATCAGTACAATAACATATTTCATTCCTAGCTACAGTCACATGCTTGGCGACCATGACTACTGCCCCATTACCTTTTCCCTCTATCTAATCGTTGATAGCCTAAGAGGCTATTCCAACTTCGTTCAGACCTGTAGGTGAGCTCACGGGCCTGAGAGAATGGCTAACACTGACCCTAGCAAGAATTGCGCTTCGCCGAATCTACTACCTGATCAGAATCGCGACCCACTGAGAAGATCTAGCGAGAAACTCAGTAGGTTGTATCTATCAGCTAGGTCGCGCTACTCGTGACTGTTTTAAAGCAGTGTATTGGTGGTGAGGCTCTCGATAATACTAAACAAAATCATTCTCAAAGCCATATCATGTATATTGGCACGCAACGTAACAAAAACCAAAAATAGCCTCATAATATTTGTAGTCCAAAGGGAACATCTCTGTCGGTTGCATCGCTTATTTATGCATAATTTAATTAATAGTCATCATCATCATCAGACTGTGTCTCTCCACTGCTGGATGTAGGCCTCTCCCATAGTCCGCCACAATGAACGATCCTACGCTCCGCAATTAATAGTGTTGAGTTTGATATGGTGCCCGTGAACATGACGCGATATTAATGTATGTAGCACATGAAGCCGAAGCCGCAATATTGTAACAGCTGCCCCACCCTTCAAACCTGAACACGTGACGGCTTCCCGACAGAACTAGACAACGTGGTAGCACCCACCAGTGCGACATGACAAGACGCTCTATGTTTACACCATGTATTTTTGTTGTGTTATGTATATATAATGTTTACAACACCTATAGTCTTGAAAGTGCTGGGGTTAGTTTGATTTTTTTGGATAAACTGGTATAAATGAGTTCATCTGGTGTTCCGTTAACATCAGAACCCATAGACGTGACAATTTGAATGCCGCCCACGTTGAGATCTGAGGTCTATTATCCAAATCATATTCTGTTTTAATTTTCTTCCTTTGGTTTTTAGTAAACGTTAGTATTCTTTCACCGCGGAAAGCATTCGTGAACATTAATTGTATACGTACTTCAATACGAAAACCGGTATCTGCCTACCGGACTTGAACACTGCTTCATAGTCTCATCGCTCGATACTAATACACCAGGCGTCTTATCTTTAAGAAAATATGAAAAATATGCTTTATAATATATATTTTTTATTGCTTTGACGGGTAGACGAGCTCACAGCCCACCTGGTGTAAAGTGGATACTGGAGCCCATAGACATCTACAACGTAAACGGGCCACCCACCTTGAGATATAAGTTCTAAGGTCTCAGTATAGTTACAACGGCTACCCTACCCTTCAAACCGAAACGCATTACTGCTTCACGGCAGAAATAGGCAGGGCGGTGGTACCTATCCGCGCAGACTCACAAGAGGTCCTACCACCATGGAATTATTTTGGTTGGCGACTATAGGCAGAGCTTGTTTCAACAGATTGGTGCGCACACAAAGAAAGCTACATCCAGGTGCATTCCGGCTGCTGAGCGGCCGACAACGTTTAACCTTGGCTTCACTCGCGATTGTAGATTTCATGAGCTTTTGTTCCATGAGCGTTATGGCTCCATTCTTCCCGAGAGAGGCGTCATCTAAAGGACTGTCAGATACTACATGCGGAATGGTGTTCAGTTTCTATGCTGTCATCATGTTTTTAACGTCGCCTTTATTCGGGAAATTCGTAAGTATTTAAATTTGATCACTCACGATCAGATAGGTAATTGTATTAAACGTATTACTATGTATTATTCTACTTCTAATTTTACCCGTCCAACCAAGCCGCTTTTCGATATTATATATATATATATATATATATATATATATATATATATATATATATATATATATATA